ATCCTAAGCTGGCGTTCAGTTGGTTGAAAATTATTCCAGAACTCAGTTGAGTTCGAGTTATTTTTCAACCGACGATTCCTAAACTCGAGAGCAAAATCACGTAAACTACCATCTCGATGTCGCTTTTGCCAACTAAAAAATTTAAAGGCAAAAACACAAGTGTCATCATAGTAAATTTTATCTTCGCTTTGATAAAATACTCGAGGTGAGGACTTGGTTGGTGCTCGAAAAGCTATATGCTTCAAATTTTTGTTCTCAGAAGGACCAACACGATGGATCACGGATTTTCGTTTCGATGCAACCTGCATCCCCCACACCAAGAAAAATCATAAAAGGCAAATATAGTTCGAATAGAAATAACTGACAAGAGACCATTGCATATTACAATAAAGATGTCTGCATGTTCTAAGCAACAAAATGCGTCCCTCCTGTTTAACAAATTGCTCACACCTGTGGAGTGGTACTATCATTTCCTTGGCGGCTCGAAGACGATTGTCCACCCTGAGTTTTTGAATCTGCAAGAGAAGCAGCGAGCGAAGATATTGTGTCTTCATACCCCCTCTTTTTCCAAAAAAGCAATTGGAAAGCTTTGGCCGCCGGGCGAACAATCTCTCGAGTACGGTTGAGATTGGCCTCACTTAGTAGCAAATTGGGAACGACAGTCGACAAATTTGCCAAGTGGTTGCAACCACTCGAGTAAAGAGCAGCACAATGGGTCTCGCAAGCAACTCGAGAGCATCGAGAAGCAAATTGAAGTATGCAACTCAAAAGGCTAGCTGCCGCATTCGACATCTAAGAATTAAGCACATGGAGCTCACCATCTTCATCAAGCTGCGCAGGCTCGGCTCCAAGTTTCTTGAGAGCCCTGCCAATAAGTTTGCAACTCTTGAAGAGTTGTTGCCGAGCGTTGTCGAGTTCCTGAAGGGCAGAGGTAGTTTTTTCTTCTTCAGCTTGTCGAGCAAATTCAACTTGCTTTTTCTCCTTCTCCAGATCGGAAATTCGAGCCTTCAATTTATCTTCAGAAATAGCTCGCTCTCGTGATACTTCCTGATGACTGAGCACCAATTTCTCAAGTTCCTTTCGCCGAGCGAGAAGCTTTTGGTTATCACCAAAGGCTTCAGCTTTTTCCGCACGAAGTCGGCGAATGCATTCGCTAGAAAATTTCTTTTCCTCTTGAAGACGGTCTATAACCCGACAAAGCTCTATACGATCCCCCTCAAGTTTTGCAATTCGTTCAAGAGATTTTTTTCCTTCGAGCGCAAATCTTGAGAAGAGCCTTTTGAGCAACTCCGCGCTGAAGTCGAGCTATGGTTGCCGTCTACAAAAGAAAACAAAAAAAAGAGACAAAAAAATAAGACAAAAGTAAACAGCTGACTTTATAAAAAAATAAAGAAGAAAAGAAAAAAGAAAAAAAGGGAAACATATATACCTCAAGAGCGGAAATATCAAGCGCTGTCCAAGCGGAGATAAGATCATTAAAGGGAAACATATATACCTCAAGAGCGGAAATATCAAGCGCTGTCCAAGCGGAGATAAGATCATTATGCTCTATAAATTCTCTCTCAAGTTCTAGAGTAATAAGATTGGGAGCAATCTCATTTCCAAACTGGTGGAGAGACGAACGGTACTTGAGGTCATCAAGGCAAAATTTAGAACCCCGACTGCTACTTTTCCCGTCAGCGTCAAAATCTGGCAAACCCATTAACCAAGTATTATTCTTCGAGCACCGCTCACTAAAACCACCGAGCACATATTTTATCAACTCAGTAGACGGGGTCATAATAAATGGTTCTAGACCTCTGTCATCAGCCAGATTTTTCTCAGGTTGGGCATTCAAGTTAGCAACTTCAAGAGCGTTTTCCACTCGAACAGGACTCGCCAAGCTCATGTCCACATCTACAGAATCAACATGAACATCTTTCTCAACTTCATTTGCCATGGAGGTAAGAACATCAGAAGGAACAAAAAGGTTATCAACAACAATAGGCGGGGAATTTGCAACAGAAGTATTGCCAGTTTCAACTTCAACCATCTTATCAACAGCAGGAAGCTCGTATGAGAGAATGTTGTCATCCTCGTCATCACTGTCTATGGCAATTCGTACTTTCTTTAAGCTCGAATAGACAGGAGAGTTGGACAAAATTTTCTTCCGCTTCAGTTCGCGGCTCGAAGTCTCTTGAACAGAAGGAGCACTGTGGGCATGTTCACTTGATTCAGATGAGTCACTGTCGTCAGAACACTCACCACTCGAGTCTGATTCCCCATCTGAACTATTCTCTCCATTTTCAGACGATGAAGAGGAAGCCTCTTTTGGAATATGTTTTTGGAACACTTTTCTTTTTCTTTTTCAAGTCAAGATGCACTCGAACCAGAATACCTCGATTGAGAGCGCTTAAAACCCGGTTCTGTTTCTTACCCTGCTGAAGTTCCAGATACTTCGTATGCTCTTTTTTCGTATAAGGACCGATAAATTTTCTGTATGGTCTATCCAGGTCTTTCACAATTTTAGCTGCCAAAAAAAAACAAAAACAGTAAAAGCTCGAATCAGTTTTGGGCAATACAATTATTTCTAATTAGCTATTTTTCAGTTTCGGGCAATACAATTATTTTTAATTAACTATTTTATCAAAGGACCTTAAATTTATGAAATTAGTTCAAATCAGCTAGGCCAAAATAGTAAAAGCTTGAATTGATAATTGCAAACATCTTGAAACTCGAAAGCGGTCAAAACTAAAATCAAAATAACTTGCTATCGGCTGGAATGTTAAAAGGAGGAAGTTCAGATGTCGAATCTTGAGGAACTTCACCAAGAGTCAAAGTCCAGCCGGATGAGAGAGGCCAAATTCCGAGACAAATGAACTCTTCAACTAAATCTCGAACGCTAAACTTGGAGACAAGCTCTTCAACAAATTGACGGCAGGCTCTGAAATAACCACTGGATCCTTGCAAGAAAAAACGAAAGGACATTTCTCCATAGCTTTTAGATCGGCTGGAATTTTGTGGTACAACCATTTAGATTGCCATTTTGATCCCCACTTGGTTCGCATGGTAGAGACAAGTGGTCAAGGGCAACCACGGTTCGAGCGCAGCGTGAAGCTAACACACCCAAATTGGGTATTTTGCTTTGTGTATCGCCGGATAGTATGAAAATAAGCGAAATCTGAGCCATGCGGCGTGCCACCACAACTCCAGATAATCCACTCGAACACTCCAAGATGAACGACCGCGTTCGGAGTAAGTTGAGGGAACTCAAGCCCATAAATACCAAGAACCTCGACAACAAAAGAGCTGCAAGGAATCCTAAAACCAGCCTCAAAGAAATCCTCAAAAACAAGAGTATACCCAGGATGAGGAGAAGGACCCGATTCATCAACAGGACGGATGACTAATTTGGCATCTGCAATAGCGCCTTTTTTAAGCAATTTCCTCAACCTCTTCTCCGAAAAAATCGAAGGACCAAGTCCAGAAGAAGCTTTTTTGGTCTTTGGCTGTTTTACGGATTTCTTTACAGACTTGCCCATGATGGGCAAATGCTTTTGACTTATCGGAAAAAAGAACTCGAAGAAACAAAGGAAAGCGATCACCGGATAGCGACCCATGGCTCCATATATATAGCTGCAGGAGGGGGAAGGGCATGATAACCGAAGAGACGCGGCTGTTCTGGCCAATATTACCCATATAGCCAAGCGACACGTGGCGTAAAACTTTACACGTTCTATTAAAAATAATAATAATAAATAAATAAAATATTATTTAAAATTAACCAATCAATCAATCAAATCAAAGACAACCTGTACGTATTGTTTAATTAATCGTTTAGCTAATCATTCAATCCTGTACAGGTGGCTAAAACTTTTCCTCTCACTAATCACTTAATTAATTTGCCTAAAACAAATTAAGGAATTTTAAAACAATCGGCAAGTTGAAAACTCGAAGATGTTTTCGCCCAAACAAGGGGACGGCGGTTTATCCCTTACATCTTTATTTCGAGCACGATTTTGGCCGAAAACACTTCGCCCTTACTCGTGAGGGGCTTGTTGTAGCAAGGGGTAGAACACCATCCCCCAAGTTTGGCCAAAAACATGCTTTTAGAAGTTCTTCCTTTTAGTCGAATAAAAATGCTCTAAGTAATTCTCTATTTTTGAGGTTTGCTCCCAGCTAGGAATTTGTGTTTACCCAAAACAGGACAATTCGTTCCAGTAGTATCGGTCGACATAATTTTCCTAACGAAGTTGTGTTTGAGCAGGATCTTATGAAGTGGCCAAGGAGCTAAAAAAACGGGAGAGTGTGTTCAACTCCTGGTATGGTCAGATCAATTCGAATGCTAAAGATTGAAGGAAAGTACCATCGAGCAATTGGCCCATTTCAAGGAAATACCATGCATGGGGACCACTTCAACCACTCTCACCAGCTGGCGCTAGATGTCACTTGGGGACCACAAAATGTACCAATATACCCCCTATGAGACATAGGTTTACTAGGGGCAATTTGGTAACTTCATGTCAGCTCTAGGTGGCAAACTTGTAGATCTTGATATTATGGTTGAGCATTATACAAGCCAACCGAAACCCTGTAGCAAGAGAGAGGGGAATTAAGATAAAAAACACCCTTTTACATTCTGACATTTACTCTTTGAGCTCACTTTCAGGATAGGCGGGAAATTGTATTTTCCCGTCTATCTCCCAAATTTATCCGTGTCCTAAGGTCACAACACTTAATATCATGAATATGTAATGTCACATCTCATATCAGTTTTGCTTTTAATAGAGTGAATAGTGTAAGAGCTCCATATGGTCGTACTCTAGTCTCGATCCGAAAGCAAAGAAAAGATCAATACCCTAAATCCCATCACAACAAGTCAAAAAAGAAAAGAAAAAGAAAACAACAACTCTGCTTCGTTTCCACGCGCAGGGAGGGAGAGGGAAGACGGAACCCTATACTTGCGATTGAGTCCAACTGACCTGTATTTTTGCGATTTTCCGTTAACATCGTATTATTTCCCAAAAAAAATTCCACCGCTTGCAGCCGCGCGTGCACAACCATCCCTCCTCTCCTCCTCATTTGTTCGAAACCAGTGGAAATCTAGGGTTTCGACGGCTCGCGAGTGGAGGTCGCCAGGCTCGTCGCCCCGTCCTCGCCGGCGGGAGGGCCGGTCTCATCCTCCCTCTCTTTCGCTCGTAGCCATCGCTCTCTTCCACTGGTTCGCTCTCTCCGTCAAACCGTTTGGTTTCGCCGCCTCTCTCCGTTGAGCTCTCTGGTAAGGGCTAGGTTGGGCATCTCCCTCCCCTTTCTCACCTCCTTCAGTTTCTTCTCCTCTCTTCCTTTGATTTGATTTGATTTCATAAATATGCTAGATCTACTAAAACCTGATATCAATCTTTCTTTCTTGATTTCGATGGAATCAAATGTCTAGTGGCTTGCTTTTTTGTTCTAAGATGGCCAATCATGACTAGTGTTGCTGATTTGTGATGCTTATGAACAGATTTTTCCCCGTGCACTACTCGATCTGCTCCGGGCGGGCGAGCGACTTGGGGGAGGATATGGTGTTCTACTTCAAGGTGCGGCCCGAGGCCGGCGACTACACCATCTTCATGGGTCTCGACAAGTTCGAGAACGAGGACCTCATCAAGTACGGCTTCCCCGAGGACATCTGGTAACTTCCCGCCCGCCGCCTTTTCTCTTCTGCTACGCTAGCTTGATTGATTGATTGATTGCCCGAGGATTGGTAGGAGGTGGTCACGTGGTAGTATTGATTTGTGCTTTTTGTGTGGAAGGAATTCATCTGGTATGTAGAGGGATTTGATGGATGGATGAGTCGCATGTGTATGGATTGCAGCAGCTGGATAAAAATTAGGTTGGATCTTAGTCTTGAAACTATGCTGTAGCTTATTTTACGAGCACAGATTCTTATTCGTACATCCGTTTAAGTGTTGTCTCGGTTCAGGAATTAGTGTATAGCAAGAGATGTAGTGTGACCGGTCATTTTTACTATGTTTAGAGGAAACACACTTGATTCCTTGTGGTCTGTGTCATCTGTATGATTTTCGTAATTTTAAGTGATATTGTTGTGCACAGTAATCACAGTGAACATACTCTGTTCCCCTTGTGATTAGGAAATGCCTAGCTAGTGCAATTATGTGATATGCTAGATGTATATATTGGAGGCATAGAGTTGTCCTATGTTTTACTCCCTCCGTCCAAGTTTGATCGTCATATTTCAAAAAATTGTATTTTCAATTTTGATCGTGACATTTGCAGTCGGCAGCCGTTCCATCTCGTCCGATGCGCTGGCCGTTTCTATTCGCGTGCGAAATTAATCAGGTTGCGCGCGGACGCCTCGGGAGCAGTCTAAAAAAGCTTGTTGCATGCATGCAAAATTAATGGCAATCACAGTTGGCTACAGATCATTGGTTCCGTCGTGCATGCATGGGCCATTATGATTAGAAAGATGTAAGTGCAATAATGAGTAGATTAGAAAGATGATAAGTGCGTTTCCTGTCCTTGGTCTGTGTGTCAAGCCAAAATATGACGATCAAACTTGAACGGAGGGAGTATTTGGGAAGAACATTTCCATGGTTTTTTTTTTCCTTTAACTTTGGCATAGTGTGCCTATTTGTACTTTTGGCCATGATTTAAATGGAAGACATTGTTGCTTCTTAGCTTCCTTCCAGATCATGAAAGTCTCAATACATTCTCTCGCTTGCATTTTTTTTATGTGTTTTTTGTGGAAGAATTTATCCAACATTGTTTTATTTTGGTGGAGATATGTGCCACTGATCCATGAATAGATGTACATGTTTTCCTGGATTCAGCTGCCCTGAATTTACTATAATGCTTAGCGAATGATGCAGAAGCAGTTTAATTTTGCACTTTGTTTTCCGAACTTTTGTTTTTTAACTACATCTGGATGCAAAAACATGTTCAAGACATACAGCAAGTCATACATCAAATTTTGAGCATCATTGTCTTAAAATATGTCGATTGATGATATGCCTAGATTTGTCTCAAAAGTTGTTTCATAATATTGTAATTTATCAGGTTGTACAAATATAGTATAAAAGTGGAAAGTAGTGGTTAACATTGCAGTTCAAGTGTTCAAAGACTTCATTGATGTCCAAAATGAAGTTTGCTGCATTACTTTTGATGGACCTGTGCAACTTTGTTCCTTTTTGGAAGCTTAATTGGCGCTGGGTGGTACAATCCTTCCCTCTACGCTCAAGTTTGGTAGTATGAATTATGAATCTTTAGTGTATGATTTATTCAAATGCTAGTTTGCAAACTTAACACTTGTTAGTAGAAAATTGGAATTGATTATATATGTGTAGTTTGTTCAGGCACATGAATTTCCCTTGCTAACGTTTGGTACATATTGGTCTATCACATTTAATGCATGTACTTGCTTTCTTTTTTTTTCATTTCAGAGTTCATCTTCTGTACATACAAAATCGATTTCTAATTCTGTATCTATTTTAGATATGGTTTGCTCATTGCTTAATAAAGTTGTTGAAGTAGCACAGAGTCATCTTATCATGCTTTGTAGCTCAACGCTATTGTTCTTGAACACAGGTTCCATGTAGATAAGATGTCCTCTGCACACGTGTATTTGAGATTAAATAAAGGTCAGACAATGGATGACATAAGTGAAGGTGTGCTTGAAGATTGTGCCCAGCTTGTGAAAGCTAATTCCATTCAAGGTTGGGAAAATTACATGATAATTCTGTAATACCTGGTTCAAACCTTTTGTTTTGCTTTCCCTAGTTTGGTTCTTTGTCAGACACATTTAATTATTTTTACAGGTAATAAGACTAATAACATTGATGTGGTTTATACACCATGGTATAATCTAAAGAAGACTCCATCCATGGATGTGGGTCAAGTTGGTTTTCACAACTCTAAATTGGTGAGAAGCTTATTTCCCTTACTTCCTGTGTTAGGCATGTAATTTAGTATAACTTGCATTTATTTGAACGCTTATACATTTAGGTTTGTCTAGTGTTATGATATCTTGGAAGTTCTGGAAGTGATTTCCGTGAATTCTGTGTCTGATAATCTGTGGAATATATGTTTCCTATCAAAGAATGTGTGAGCAAAATTAGAAGTTACGATTAGTACTATCTGGTTTTTGTTATTTTGTGAAAGAATTAGTTTTTAGTCTCTACACAATCTCAATTCAGGGAAGTTTACTTTCTACTTCCATGTTTGTTCTTTGCAAAATTGACTGTCTGTTCGTCTTTATTGACTATGCACCAATCTTAACTTGCGCCACATGTCATGAGCATGATAAGCATTGTTTTCTGTAATGACTTTGCAGAATAACTTCAATAGCCTTTTTTTTTGCGAGTTATTTCTATATCCTAACATCAACATTTTATAATGTGGTTGTTATCCTTCTTTAAATGCCATTTAACTTTGAAAGTGCTTGATTTTTTTTCATAGCCTTTTCTTGTTGCAGCTTGCATAAGATTTCTTTATTGGAAGGGTTCATTGTTGTGATTTCTAACCAAATTACTGGACACAGCCCAATAACTTAGGTCCTAGATGTATCTCCTTTTGAATGATCTTTTCAGTTTTTTTATGTATCCTTTGTCATTTGTTCATTTACAGGTTCGGATTGTCAAAGTAGAAAAACGGATTAATGAGATTGTGAACCGGCTGAATAAGACAAAAGTGGAGCGCAAGCCTGACTTAAAGGGTACAACACTTATATCCTCCATAAGATGTTTGTTCTGCTCATATTTATAAATGCATTTTTTATAAGCAGAAAATGACATGTTCGCTGAACATCTTTTCTTATTTAGACGTAAAGACAGTAGTTATCTTACCTTATAGTTTTCGAGGAGGCACCATGGTAGTGAGGAAGTGCATGAACTGGTGGTCAAGACAATTTTTGTCTAAATGTGCGCAAGACAATTGATGATTGTCTGATGCTGATTGCCAAAGGTTAAACTTTGCAACTAGGCATGTGAAGAAATGGAAATGCTGTTACGGAAACTGTGGAAATAATTCTCGATTTTGTTGCTGTCGGCCAGAACTTAGAACTTAGAAAGGCTGTTGTAGGAGTGCGAACATGTGAAATTGATGATTGTTCCTAGATTTGAACCATTTGATTTCCACTGGCACTGGTCTTGTTATTTCATTCCTTTCTCTGTCTCTTTGTTACTTGTGATTACATATTTGTTTTTACAGCTTAACATCTTTTGCTACAGCTGAAAGAGAAGCTGTGAGTGCAGCAGAAAAGGCAGAGAGAAAGGTGCAGCTTAGAGATAAAGTAAGTTATATCTCACACTCCCATCCTAGATCTCATTTTATTGTTGAGTGTCAGGCTAATCAGCTATATGTCTTTTTTATTAAGGAAATACTTTATTCAACCCCCTGAAATATGAAACCAAGCGGTCCACCCCTTCCCCTTGTATGAAAACCGATACATTTTACACCTGAGATCATTTTGTAAGAATTATTGCCCATGTGCCCATGTGGACCATGATGAGGATGATGACATGGCCATACATTTTCTTTAAAATATTTTTTTTTCACTAGTGGGAAGAACGGTAGTGCTGACTAGTGGTCCTCTGGCCAAGCCCGTAAGAGAGAGAAAAGAGGAATGGCTATACCAGTTTGGTTATTGCCTACTTAGCAAAACAATCTCGGGGAGTAAACTGCATGGGTTTTCATATAGGGTAAATGGTGCTTCAGGAAGTGTCTGAGTAGACGAACCACTAATTCAGGAAGTTAGGTAGACTTTTTCTTTCATAAATACCAGAAGATTGTATATTTATGTATGCATGGTTTGTCGGTTTCACAACAAGCTAGTTATCAACTTATTAAATCTGTTGTTCTTGGTTTAATTTGCTGAGCCCAGGTTGCCTGGATGAATATTTATGGTATATCATGTCATTGCAACTATTAAAATGGATTATTTATTTGATTGCAGAAACGTAGGGAAGAGATGGAGAGGGTTGAGAAGGAGAAGCAGGCTGAAATCAGGAGCTACAAGAACCTGATGGTCCAAGAGAAGATGACTTCCAACAAGCAGGTTGCATCTGGTAGCAAGACCTTGGAAGAACTAGAGGATGACTTCATGTGAGAAGACAAAATAACAAATTCATACTGCCAGGGTTCTCTAAACTGTGTTTCTGTCAAAGACAGGACAAGCATCGCCGGGTTGCAAGCTTGGACAAGATGATTTCTGGGCAGGGCCGCCTTGACCTGTTATGCTACATACTCTAATTGGCCTGCATTGACCTTGTTTGATGTGTTGAAACAAAGCATTGTGTGATCTAACTGTGGTTGATGTATTATTGATTAGTTAATCATCAACCTGATACAAGATAATAAAACTCGCTTTCCTTGATTTTTCGACAATGATGAAACGTAAGAATTTTACCTAAGGTATTCCATTCTTTCCCTGTAGCAAACTTTGGGAATACAGTACTGACCCATGTGAAATATAACGGATTTTGACTTTTTGCTTGCACTGTTTGACCATTCATTTTTATTATCCAAAGTACTTTAAATATAATTTTTCGCTTTTTTATATTTGTATAAATTTTTTTTAATAAGACGAGTAGTCAAACAGTATAAGAAAAAGTCGAAATCCCTTATATTATGGGACGGAGGGAGTACGATAACTTTTGTGATGAGAGAAAAAGGATTACAATACCCTTTAAAAGAAAAGTATTATTAAGTGTGTAGCTAAAGAGTATTAAAGGGATATAAAACTTGTTGATTTGTGAACTAAGAATAGATAAGAAGGTAGGAACTAATTTATTTGGACAAACTTCTTGACAAATCTACTAATGTAAATTTTCATACTTTAAATCCTCATATTTTTGCATCTATTATTGATGTATGATTATGATGTTTAACAACACGCGTTCAGAGAACGGAAGTAATCATGTAAAAATATATTTAAGTTTTCTTTATAATCCATAAAATCCGATCTTTTCTTGAGCATGATCTACAGCCACACTAGTTCATTGGGGAAAAAAAGGTAAGAAACATTGCTAATTGCGTTGGTGGTATTACGAAATTATATTTACTTTATTCATTAAAAAACTTATTAGAAATCACATTTACTTCATTCATTAAAAAATCTTTTTTGAATTTGGTAATGGCGATAGGTATAGGTGGTGTTTGATTTAATACCGTACTAAATTTTCATATAAACCCTAAAATATTTGTTTTTAAACCATCGGCTCTAAAAATACATAAAAGGCTAGTATACACAAAAACCAACCAGATTAAAAAAAACCACATAAAATTTTAAATTTCTACAAAATCAGTTTGAAATTGTTGATATCCCTTTACCTAAAAGTACATAAAACGAGTAGCATCATCATCAGATTAAAAAAGGATCACACCTAAGGCTGGACGAAAACCTCGTGACTCGTTAGCTTGCTCGACTCGTATCTAACTCAGCTCGGCTCAGCTCGACTCGTTTAGATTTGTTAACGAGCCAAACGAGCCTGGCACATGCACATAAACAGCATGAACTCAGAAGTGACACGACCAAAATAGGCCAAAATTTACGACTAAAACAGACCAAAATTTACAAGTCTGCGTAGAAGAGGAATAGAGGAGGCCACCGACCGAATTGTGGGCCGGTTGGGCCAGCCAAGGGTTCGGGTTCCGCCGAACCAGCCGTGGCACCGATGGATGTAGGGTTTGGCTGGATGACCGGATTGCTTCCCTATAGCTGTTGGAGGGTATTACCGACCTTTCCAACTGTCATAACCATCATTACCAGCTTATATAAACCCCCTCACTCTCTCCATTTCTTCACACGCCTCAAGCAAGAAGAATCAAGCTCTCTTATTAGTTTAGTAGTGTTCTCAAGCTAGTGGAGTAGGAATAGAATAGGAATCTTAGTATGGGAAGTCTTTGGAAGGATTTGGGTATGACTCTAGTAGCTTTGCTCTCTTTTTGTAAGACTTGTACTTTATTTAGAATATTCTTCTTTATACTACTCTGGTATTGTATTTCTTTCCGAGTATATGAATACCAACTTTATTATATATCCAAGTTATATTGATTATGATGCTAGCTTATCTGGGAAATACAATGGTGTGGGTATAATGATCGTTTATACGATGACTCTATGTCATGATGATGATATTAGAGTAACATTTGCTAATTTAAGCGTGGTGTTTAGATTACTGGATATCATTATTTGAGGTTATATGTTGCGGAAGCAAGGTAGGCCGTTGATGGTGACAGCTCAGTATGGGTATTCCTCCGCGCGCGTATATAGTTCAAAGTTATTTTCCTGGAGAGGGTACTCCGTATTTAGTCCTGGTTAGATGGTCATAACGGGTTGTTATAAGAAACTCGGCAACTAGGGGTGGCTTCTCGAAGCACCAGGAGAGCATTGGAAAGAGAGTATTAGCTAAGTAATCATATAACTAGGATGTATGTATACTAGAAGTATAGAAATAGATTCTCTCATATTTCTTTCCCACTTAGCTTAGATAATTTAGTATGAGAGTGTATACTTCTCTTGTTGTGTGTCACTCTACCCTATTCATATCTTAACCCCTTCTTAGACTTTGATTATTACAAGTAATATATAAATATTAGCTTGGTTCTCTCTCTTATAATCTTCCCACAGGATAAAATAAATACGATACCCTTGGAATACTCTCGGGTGAATTGCTATAATGGCATATCCGTATGCTTGCGGATGACATATGTAACCATAGTATACTATGAATATTTCTGCGCCATGAGGAACCCCGGTCGATCCGACGAGAGGGACGTGGCTCCAAACCCGACCGCGCACCGGACGACACGCCACCACTTCACACACATGATACAAGAACCACGCCGCGCAAAGAAAACCAACAAGTGCCCGGCTGCCCACGCCGCGAAGCAGATCGATGGGCTTGGCTGACCAAACCAGTCCAGCCACACGCCCACACGTTACGTACTGTACACACACTGCCCTGCTACCACTATGCGCGATGGATGGATGGATGGATGGATGGATGGATGCATTGTTATGCAATCGTCGTCAAAACCAAATCATTTGCGAATCAATGATATCCTCTTCATCATCTCATAAAAAAACAAAGGATAAATTTCATAAAACTATGACCAAACTAACACAAAACTACATATTTAACTTGATGTATAACAAAACTACACATTTAACACTATATATTTATAACAAAACTAAATATTTACGATGAAGTGTCACAAAAAAACTACATGTTTAGTAACTAAATTATCACAAAACTATATGTTTAGAACCAATTTAGTCACAAAATAATAATGTTTATAGCTCCAGCATAATAATGGTGCTAGGGATTTAAATTAAACTTATAGTTTTATGATAACTTTAATTTTAAATATGCAGTTTTGTTATACTTAACCTTAAATATGTAGTTTTGTGATAAATATGATGCTAAATCTGTAGTTTTAGTATATAATGCCTTAAATTGTAGTTTTGCGATAGTTTGATTAAAATACCAGTAGTTTTATGCAATTTACGGAAAAAAAATACAAATGTAATACAGTATCCAGTGACGGAGGATCGTAATGGGGATGGGGAGGAGAAGGCAGAGGCGGAGGGGGAGAGAGGGCGACGCAAGGCGGCGGCGGCCGCTGATCCAGTCACCGAGCTCCTACCGATGTGGGTTCTCCCACAAAGGAGACCCTTTTTTACTGCCCATGGGCTGAACCCCATTCTGAGATACAGTGTCCAGCCCATCGTAACCCTCACTTTATATGGCCCAACCCAACCCTGCCCTTATTTCTTCCTAGGAAAAAGTACACCGAAGGTCCCTCAACTTATCATCGGGATATAAAAACGTCCTTAAACCGCAAAACAGTTATGCGGGGTCCCTTAACTATATAAAACCGGTCACCAAAAGTCCTTTGGTGGTTTTGACCCTGGTTTTGGTCCACGTGGCGGCTGAGTCAGCGTGGGTCCCACATGTCAGCATGGCCACGCCAACACCCTCTCTCCCTCTCACTCTTCTCTTCTGTTTTGGCAAGCCAGCCGGCGGCTGGGGCAGAGACCACTGGGGTGAGGCGGGAGAGGAGGAGGAGGTGGCGGCAGCGGCTGTGACACAGGAGATGGTGAGGGCGGCGGGCGGTCGTTAATGGTGTCGACGGGGCTGCGTGGTGTTGGGCGGGGAGGCGGAGGCGCGCGCGCACAGGCTGGTCGCCGTCGACGTCGAGCGCGAGGACGTCGGCGCTCCGGCCGATGACGTAGAGATACCGCTCTGCTCCCCTGACCACCACGCCACGGTCACCCGCGCACACGTAGCACGACGAGCCGACGTCCTTCCCCGGCAGCCTCGCGCAGAACACCTCATGGCTCGTCAACGGGTGGCCGAGGTACCCGGATGCGTTGCTCGGCGAGGACACCCGATCTCTCCCTCCACGTTGTCTTACACCGGCTCGCCGGTCTCCTCGTCCACCATGGTGATGAACTCGTCGACGCACGACTTGTAAATCGGCTTGTTTATCAGGATGAGATTCTCCAGGCTGCCGAGCGTGTGAGGCCGCCGCCGTCGCCCGTCTGGTGAGCGGCCACATCTGAACACCAGCGGCAGCGCGAAGGGCCCCCTTCTTCCCTCTCCCCTCTCTATTCTTCTCCCCTCCTCCCCCCTCCCTCGCGCTCAAGGTCCGGCGCCTGGTACAGCATGAAGCAATTTTGCTGCAGATTGCGGCGGCGGCGATCGGTGGTGGGAAGTCCGTGAAGGCGGCCATGGACGCTGGGTTCTTCTCACTCTGACACCAAGCGGGAGGAGGATGGAGACGGTGGGCCGACGAGGGTGGAGGCGGTGCCTACGGCGGCAACGAGGGCTGGGGGAGGAGGGGAGAGGAAGGCGGCGGCTCGAAGGTGGAGTATAGTGGTGGTGCGCGAGGTCACCGAGGGCGCCGCCTGGGGACCTACGGCGGAGTGGCTCGCCGGCTGGGGCCTGCTCGCACAACTCGCCGCGCCGTGTCGGTGTGCCTCGAGTGGTGGTGGTACGAGGTGATGATCCTGCTGTGCGGCCTCCTGCCGGAGCCGAAGCCGGTGATGGCGTCGACGGGGGTGCGCGCTCATGCAGACGACTGTGTTGGTGTACGTGTTCTCGTCGTTGCTGGCATTCGACGTGTCAACGTGGGTGGGGAACGAGCTGGGCGTGAACTGGTCCGGCCGGGCGCGCACCGCTGCGCACGTTGCCATGGCGGGGGCCACGGCGACGGGGCTCGTCGCCATGGCATTCACGGCGGGGATGCGACATGCGTGGGGGCACCCATTCGAGAGAGTCAGAGAGAGACATATAAGGAAGGGAGAGGAGGGGGAAGAGAGAGGAGGCTGATGTGGCCACGCTGACATGTGGGGCCCGCGTGGGTCCCACGCTGATTCAGATGCCACGTAGACCAAAACCGGGGTCAAAACCACTGAAGGACCTCGGTGACCGGTTTTATATAGTTAAGGGACCCCGTATATCTGGTTTTGCGGTTCGAGGACATTTTTTTTATCTCGATAACAAGTTGAGGAACCTTTGGTGTACTTTTTCCTTCCTTCCTATAACCCATACAAGACACACCATTTTCAGCCCATTAGTGTTTCAACCCATACAACCCATGGGTTGGCCTGCCCATTACCAGGCTTATGCAGAACCCATGGATGGGGTTACCACCATCCCTCCTCTCCTCCTCCTCATTTGTTCGAAACCAAACCAGTGGAAAGCTAGGGTTTCGCCGACTCGCGAGTGGAGGGCGCTGCTCGTCGCCAGGCTCGTCGCCGGCGGGATGGCCGGTCGTCCGTCAGCATCCTCTCTCCGTCAAACTGTTTGGTTTCGCCGGCTCTGTCTGCCACGCCCCTCTCTTTCGTCGACTCTCTCCGTTGAGCTCTCTGGTAAGGGCTAGGTTGGGCATCTCCCTCCCCTTTCTCACCTCCTTCACTTTCTTCTCCTCTCTTCCTTTGATTTGATTTCACCCGATTTGTTTGGATTAGACCGTGTCCCCTTCATAAATGTGCTACATCTACTAAAACCTGATATCTTTCTTGCTTGATTTCGATGGAATCAAATGTCTAGTGGCTTGCTTTTTTGTTCTATGATAAGATGGCCAATCATGACTAATGTTGCTGATTTGTGATGCTTATGAACAGATTTTTCCTACACTTATTCCTATTGTCCTGCTGATTTGTGTTATGCCATTGTATGTTTGGCTACAAATAGAAGTTACTGATAAGGCCAGATACAATAGTGCGTTGTTTTAAATTGATACTGACAGATACACACTTGATTAATAGTGCTTATTTGTGATGCATAAGAACAGATATGCCTGCACTTGACCTTATTCAATAAGGTCAAGCAACCAAACATGCCCTTTCTAAGTTTCTGTCTTTCTGTGATCTTTCTCAGTATTATGTAGTTCAAATGATCTGAGTAGAACTGAGGCCACCTCTACACTTGAACTGAGCAGAATTTATAAGAGTACATGAACAGATTTTTCTACACTTGTTCTTTTTTCTTGCCGTTAGGCTGGGAAAGATGGCCAATGATGATATATGCTGCTGTTTGTGGTGCATGTGAATAGATTTTTAAAAAATGACAACATCAGTAAAACATACATACACAGTATATCGATTCTCTAAGAGAAAAATGAGCTTAGGAATATTAGTAGGTGGGCACAGACCCAGAGTGAATATTAGTAGGTGGGCACAGACCCAGAGTAACATAATAATCTATAACCTCTACGACGGATTAACCTTATCACACATAAATAGATTTAGGGACTTGGAAAAAATCTTGCTTCACAAACTTTATAGGGTAACCTCACCACCCACAAGAATAGGTATTTACACACAAGATGTATCCATCCAACCAAACAATATCTCCTGCATGCTACCATTCCATCCGCCCCTTGCTACAACCAACCAAACAACATCTCATCATATCCAGGTTCATCTCTTGCAAGCAACCAAACACCTGCATGTGTATCCCCTAAACCAGGCTAAACTTAGCCTGGATGAGGGAGATGAGCCAGGCTAGAGGGATACGAGCAACCAAACACACCCTTATGTGTTGTCTCAGTTCAGGAATTAGTATGTAGCTAGAGATGTAGTGTGACCGGTCATTTTTACTATTTTTAGAGAAAACACACTTGATTCCTGGCAGAAATTTTTGCTACTTGTCAATTGTCATGGATGGATTGTTAAAGATTTGTGGATGATATTATACTGAAGAATTCTTGTGACCTTGTCGTCTGTGTCATCTGTACGATTTTTGTAATTTTAAGTGATATTGTTGTGCACAGTAATCACAGTGAACATACTCTGTTCCCCTTGTGATTAGGAAATGCCTAGCTAGTGCAATTATGTGATATGCTAGATGTATATATTGGAAGCATAGAGTTGTCCTATGTTTTATTTGGGAAGAACATTTCCATGTTTTTTTTCCTTTAACTTTGGCATAGTGTGCCTATTTATACTTTTGGTCATGATTTAAATGGAAGACATTGTTGCTTCTTAGCTTCCTTCCAGATCATGAAAGTCTCAATACATTCTCTTGCTTGCATTTTTTTGTGTGTTTTTTGTGGAAGAATTTACTCAACATTGTTTTATTTTGGTGCAGATATGTGCCACTGATCCATGAATAGATGTACATGTTTTCCTGGATTCAGCTGCCCTGAATTTACTTTAATGCTTAGCGAATGATGCAGAAATAGTTTAATTTTGCACTTCGTTTTCCAAACTTTTGTTTTTTTAACTACATCTGGTCATCTGGATGCAAAAACATGTCGTTCAAGATGTACAGCAAGTCATACATCAAAATTTGAGCATCATTGTCTTAAAATATGTCAATTGAACACTAAAATAGTGATATGTGTAGATTTGTCTCAAAAGTTATTTCATAATATTGTACTTTATCAGGTTGTACAAATTATAGTATAAAAGTGGAAAGTAGTGGTTAACATTGTAGTTCAACGACTTCATTGATGTCCAAAATGACTTGTTTTGGTGAATAGGGAGAGTATTAATTGTTTGCTGCATTAGTTTTGACACACTGTCATGTGCATTACCTGTGCAAGTGCAACGTTGTTCCTTTTTGGAAGTTTAATTGGCACTGGGTGGTACAATCCTTCCCTCTATGCTCAAGTTTGGTATTATGAATTATGAATCTTTAGAGTATGATTTATTCAAATGCTAGTTTGCAAACTTAATACTTGTTATTAATAGAAAATGCGGAATTGATTATATATGTGTAGTTTGTTCAGGCACATGAATTTGCCTTGCTATCGTTGGTTGTATTGGTCTATCACATTTAATGCATGTACTTGCATTCTTTTTTTTTTCATTTTGGATTTCATCTTCTGTACATACAAAATCGATTTCTAATCCTATATCTATTTTAGATATGGTTTGCTCATTGCTTTGTGACTCAAAGGTATTGTTCTTGAACACAGGTTCCATGTAGATAAGATGTCCTCTGCACACGTATATTTGAGATTCAATAAAGGTCAGACAATCACATAAGTGAAGGTGTGCTTGAAGATTGTGGCCAGCTTGTGAAAGCTAATTCCATTCAAGGTTGGGAAAATTACATGATAATTCTGTAATACCTGGTTCAAACCTTTTGTTTTGCTATCCCTAGTTGGTTCTTGGTCAGACACAGTTAATGTTTTTTTAATTATTTTTACAGGTAATAAGACTAATAACATTGATGTGGTTTATACACCGGGGTATAATCTAAAGAAGACTCCTCCATGGATGTGGGTCAAGTTGGTTTTCACAACTCTAAATTGGTGAGAAGTTTATTTCCCTTACATCCTGTGTTCACTAGGCATGTAATTTGGTATAACATACACTTGTTCGAATGCTTATGCATTTAGGTTTGTTGTTTCCCTCCTCCCAAAGCCTCAACAATGCCGCCTCCCCTCCTCCTCCTCTTCTTCCTCCTCGCCGGCGTGGGCGCCACCACCACGGTGGAGGAGCCCCCGGCGGCGCTGTCCCCGCCGCACAAGAACGCGACGCTCTCTGAGATCCTCCTGCGCTACGGCCTGCCACCGGGGGTGTTCCCCACCAGCATCACCGCCTTCACCCTCGCCGCCAACGGCAGCCTTGCCGTCGACCTCCAGGGCCCCTGCTACTCCCACTACGAGTACCTCACCTACTTTGAGGCCCGCGTCGTGGGGCTCCTCCGCTACGGCTCTCTCACCGACCTTTCCGGGGTCAAGGTCCGCCGCTTCCTCGTCTGGTTCGACGTCATCCGAGTCAAGGTCGACCTCCCGCCGCCCCCGCACTACGTCTACCTCGACATCGGATGGATCACCCGCAAGCTTCCTGCCGACGAGTTCGAGTCCCCCCACAAGTGCGACGACTCCAAGAAATGCCGCCTCTCGTCCGCGCTCGCCACGGCTGCCGTGTGGTTTCAGGTTTGACGTGTTCCTCCCCTTTGTGATTCCGAGCTGTTTGTGTTCGATAGGTTCTTGATTTAGGCTTACTGGGTGCTGGTTTTGCTTGCCAAATTAGTCTCTTGTTAGAAATTAATCTGCTGCCAAGTAACAAGCGAATTTAATTTCTCGGATTGTGTTTTTGTGCCGTCAATTTCAAAGTTAATAGCGGAACTATGCTGAGAATTTGTGGTGTTTCCTGGTCATTGTTTCGTGTCCAACTTGTGTTCTTCCTGGCTGCTCACTCCTGTGGTGGTTAATTTTGACTTGTATGTAATTACCTTGAGGTTGCGTAATGCTGAAGGAAACGCAAAACTGAGAGTTGCTTCCTGTGGTAAAATTTGACATGGAAAGTGAAATATATGGCATATTAGGTTGTTGTAATAAAATAGGACTATTGTGTATTATTGCATCATGCAGTTGAAATAGTCTACTATTGTGTATTATTGCATCATGCCCATACATAATATAGCCCAACCGCCTTAACCTACTAGATAGGAGGTATCTAACCTCACTACTCCTAGTCCCATACCACAAAATAAAATGCAAGCTAGAATGTTCTCCCTCTTTTGGCATCAAAGACCAAAAAGCTTCCCTCTTATGGAGAAGGAGGACGAGTCGAAGATGAAGGGTGAGAAGCATCACGGCGGCGATGGTACACAAAAGCTTGGTTGCTTTCCAACACTTGGACCCTTGAATCCAACACACCCACCCTAGTGCTCAATCTTCCCATGGATGCATTCAAATTTCCAACATCCATTCGCAAACCGCGAACATTCTCATGCATCGCTTCATGCCTGATGGTTAAGCGTTGAATGCTCTCACTTAGGGTATTGATAGCCCCAAGTACCATGTTGAAGTACTCATTTGGTTGCATCCCAAAGTAAGCATATTGAGGATTAAAGAAAGTATTAGGATCAACAAACCCATGAGGAGGAGGAGGTGTCGTGCTTGAGCTAGCTCCAGGGTGAGAAGAGGGCATCGTCGTAGGAGCACGGGGAGTTCCAAGCTGAAGGCGGGGCTTGTACTGCTGGTGCTTCTTCAAATTGTTCCCGGCACCCCCAAGTTTGTCTTGTATCAATCTCATGATATATGGCGCATAGTAGATCCCCTGAGTGAATGTGCCCATTGAGATAGCAATCTCTTGCATCATGAGATTCACAACGTCAAACTAACGACCCTGAATAATAGCATCAATGACGTGCCAAGCCACCCCCTAATATCATCATTATTGCCACATCGAGGGAGGATGGTGGCTCTCACGATCCTGTTGACCACACTGGGCATGGTCCTCAACCCTGCAACCTTCCCATGGGTGTACCGCACTCCATCTTCATAGAATTGAGAGAGATAGTCAATGGAGAGCGGATTGTGAGTGTGCTCCTCATGCAAATCATCTCCAAAATCAAAGCGAATGTTGAGAAGCCTCCGGAACTGCCTCCAAGAGATAGAGCACTAGAGGGTGTCAGACATCCACTTTATCTCACTGAAATCTCCAGCCACCCACACTGTAGCATATAACTGGCAGATCAAGTCTTCTTTGTAGTCTTGCTTGAGGGTCACAATCCGGTCAATGCCAACTATCTTGAAGAGATTATGCAAGCTCTCAAACTTTGGAGTCTCATTGATATCTCTCCAAGAAATCCACTTGTGATCCGCAAATGCTTTCCCTACATAAATCTGCTCATACACTGTCTTCTGGAAAGCGGTGTGGAACCGGGGATCTGTGTGGCCCTAGGCCTCATGAACTGATCATGATGCCTCAAGATGGTGTACTGCGCTGGATTCCTCAGGTTGACCACAAACTGGATAGAGGGATCAACTTGAATCGCATCTTCCTCATCCTCCCCGCTGTCACTGTCATCACCATCTCCATTGTCCTCTTCACTGGCCCCCTCAACATGTTCCTCAACTTCTTCTTCACTTTGAGCATATTCCTCTCCGCTCGACTCCTCATGCGCACTCACGGGATCCGGCGTGGGCTCACGACGACCATGGCGAGTGCGGGGAGGCATAGCTGTCAATGATTAAAGAGGATAGGATATTAGCAATAATTTTAGAAGCCACTTGGTTGAAATGAAATTATACTCACATGCAGTGTCAGGGGCGGTCAGACCGTAGCCTGTAGGCCGGTCAGACCGCCTACCCGCACCGGTCAGACCGACGGCAAAGCCCCGGTCAGACCGTTGGTTTGCTCCGGTCAAACCACCATTGACATTGGCCCAAGCATCCACAACAATTTCACAACTACACAAATGAGTCTAAGATTTGCTAGAACAAATTTGCACAAAATTTGTGCTTCACTTCAAATCGATCTATTTCAACCTAGGGTTATTGGTAGTTGGTTCAAATCTTGTGCAAATTTGTTCTAGCAAAGCTTAGACTTCTTTGTGTACTTGTGAAATTGTTATGGATGCTTGGGCCAATGTCAGTGGCGGTTTGACCAGAGCAAATAGGCGGTTTGACCGCGGCTTTACCGTCGGTCAGACCCGTTGGCCGTTGGTCTGACCGGCGCGGGTAGGCGGTCTGACCGGCCTAGCGGTCTGACCGCCCCTGACACTGGATGTGAGCACAATTTCACTTCAACCAAGTGCCTTCTAAAATTCTTGCTAATATCCTATCCTCTTTGCTCTTTGTCAACTATGCCTCCCCGCACTCGCCATGGTTGTCGTGAGCCCATGCCGGATCCCGTGAGTGCGCATGAGGAGTCGAGCGGAGAGGAATATGCTCAAAGTGAAGAAGTTGAGGAACATGTTGAGGGGGCCAGTGAAGAGGACAATGGAGATGGTGATGACAGTGGCAGCGGGGAGGATGAGGAAGATGCGATGCAAGTTGATCCCTCTATCCAGTTTGTGGTCAACCTGAGGAATCCAGTGTAGTACACCATCTTGAGGCATCATGATCAGTTCATGAGGCCTAGGGCCACACAGATCCCCGGTTCCACACCGCTTTCCAGAAGACAGTGTATGAGCAGATTTATGTAGGGAAAGCATTTGCAGATCATAAGTGGATTTCTTGGAGAGATCAATGAGACTCCAGAGTTTGAGAGCTTGCATGATCTCTTCAAGATAGTTGGCATTGACCGGATTGTGACCCTCAAGCAAGACTACAATGAAGACTTGATCCGCCAGTTCTATGCTACAGTATGGGTGGCTGGAGATTTCAGTGAGATGAAGTGGATGTCTGAGACGCTCCAGTGCTCTTTCTCGAAAGCAGTTCCGGAGGCTGCTTAACATTCGCTTTGATTTTGGAGATGACTTGCATGAGGAGCACACTCACAACCCGCTCTCCATGGACTATCTTTCTCAGTTCTATAAAGATAGTGTGCGGTACACCCATGGGAAGATTGCAAGGTTGAGGACCATTCCCAGTGGTAAACAGAATTGTGAGAGCTACAATCCTTCCTTGATGTGGCAACAATGATGATATTAGGGGGGTGGCTTGGCACGTCATTGATGCTATTATTCAGGGTCGTCAGTTTGACGTGGTGAATCTCATGATGCAAGAAATTGCTCTCCAAGGGCACATTCACTCAGGGATCTACTATGCACCATATATCATGAGGTTGATACAAGACAAGTTTAGGGGTGCCAGGAACAATTTGAAGAAGCATAAGCAGTACAAGCTCCGCCTTCAGCTAGGCACTCCCTGTGCTCCTACGACGATGCCCTCCTCTCACCCTAGAGCTAGCTCAAGCACAACACCTCCTCGTCATGGGTTTGTCGATTACAATGCCTTCTTTAATCCTCAATATGCTTACTTTGGGATACAACCAAATGAGTACTTCAACCCGGTACTAGCTATCAATACCCTAAGTGAGAGCATTCAACGCTTAACCACTGGGCATGAAGCGATGCATGAGGATGTACGCGGTTTGCGAACGGATGTTGGCAATTTGAATACATCCATGGGAAGATTGGGCACTAGGGTGGGTGTGTTGGATTTACGGGTCCAAGTGTTGGAGGGCACCCAAGATTTTGTGTACCATCGCCGCCGTGATGCTCCTCACCCTTAATCTTCGACTCGTCCTCCTCCTCCACAAGAGTGAAGCCTTGTTGGTCCTTGATGCCAAAAGAGGGAGAAGAATTCTAGGCTTGCATTTTATTTTGTGGGATGGGACTAGGAGTAGTGAGGTTAGCTACCTCCTATCTAATAGGTTAAGGCGGTTGGGCTATAATTATGTATGGGTATGGGCTATTACCTTATATTGTGTGTTATTTTTCGTTTTGTTAAACTCTATGTCATTTGGACCCTTCGTGGTCTTGTAATAGCTTAGATTATTATTTGTGAGCCTTCTTTGGATAATTTGTGAGTTGGATGATATATGGATGAACTTCTATAATTTGGATTGTTATTGTTGTGAACTTGTGCTATGATGGATGGTTGATGTGATATTGATATATTTGTGACCATCTTATGCAGTTGGTTGATCCATATGTGAAGTTCACATTGTATGTTCCATGTGTGGTTGTGCTATGTTCAAATGTGAATGAGTGTATTTGTTCCATATTTGTGTTTGATATGCACATGTCTAGGGGTAGCATTTTCATTTCATTGCAAAATGTCTATATGTTTCATGTTTGATTTTATATGTTTGAGGTGTTTGTCATCGATTACCAAAAAGGGGGAGATTGAAGCATTTAGACCCCATTGTTAATTTTCGTAATTAATGACAAGTACTAATTGTGGACTAACCGTTGTCTTTGAGCTATTTGAGCTATATATTGAGTTAGGTTCACATTATGTGTGTGCGCATGGATGACTACCGATGCATTAAAATTGACGGTGCAAAGCAAAAGGAAGAGAAGACGGTAAACTAGAGCCTTTATTTTAAATTGATCGAGGTGTAGGGTGATCAAATTTGCTAGTTTATTTTTAGCGTTGCCGTACTATTAAGAGGGATAATGACCTAGCAAAGAGATGATTTTAATTGCCATATTAGGTCATTATGCATTTAGACTTGTGCTCACATTTCATAACACATTTCTTTCACTGTGATCAACCTGACAGGAGCGGTCAGACCGGCCAAATAGTGGAGGTTTGACCGGCGTGCCCTGGCCGGTCTGACCGGCCCCAAGCGGGCGGTTTGACCGGTGCACAAGGCCGGTCTAACCGGCGGCACCTGAGCGGTCTGACCGGCCCCCTGGAGGCCGGGATGGTGTGCTCGGGGTTGGCTGATACCGAGCCGACGGAGCCGTATTCGGTCGGTCTGACCGGCCACTTAACGTCGGTCTGACCGGCCAGGCCAATGGGGCCCTTTGACAGGGCTACAACGGCTAGTTTTCAAGCCGTTGTAGAGTAGCACAGTCAGACCGGGCAGTACACTGAGTTGGGGGATTTCGCCCCCAACGGCTAGTTTGGTGGGTGGGAGTACAATACTCCCCCACCAGCAGCAAGGGGACTCTCTTGGCACCCACTTCAATTGCATACACCCCTTGCATCTCTCACACACCCACTTAGCTTTGTGTTCATCCCCTTAGTGTGTTCGAGGATTGTCTAGCCAAGAGTTAAGTGCATTTGCTTTCATTTGTTGAGCTAGTGTGGCACTTGATCATCTCCGAGCCGGGTCATCGCTTGTTACTCTTGATGGTTGCCGCCTCCTAGATGGTTTGTGGAGGAGTTGCCCGGTGACTTCTCCGAGAAGATTGTGGAGGAGGCCCGGCGCCGGTTGTGAGTGGTTTGGAGTTCACCACCTTCGAAGTGAAGGAAGAACTACCCCGAGTGATCGAGGCTTGGGTAGTCCTCTCCATGGGCCGGCTCCTGCCTTGCCCACCCCTTGACAAAGGGGGCGTGCGGTGGCTTCGTGGTTGAGCAGTGGAGTTGGGCTCGCCTCAACGGGGAATAGAAAACCGGCGAGTTTCCGAACCTTGGTGAAAAATCTGTCTCCTTGTCTCATTTATTTGTTGCATTTACATTTGTGCAATTTACATTCTTAGAGACATACTTGAGATCATATCATCCTAGAATTGCTAAACATTGACATAGGAGTGTGATTTACTTTCATAAGATATAATTGAGCCATTATCACCCTAGGTTTGCAAAACATAACTTAGTTACTTTGTTAGACTTGACCCTCACCGAGCCTAGCAACTTAGGTTAGTTTTGATTAGGTGTCATTTAGTTTTTAAATCGCCTATTCACCACCCCCTTCTAGTTGACATCTCGATCCTACAGAAGGTGAGCCGAGCGCGATGGGATGGATGGAAGCAGTGCAGGATTGGGGGATGGATGGAGGTGGCGCACCGCTTTGGCGGCTGTGGCTCGGTGCTTCCTCCTCTCTAGGGTTTACTATGCATTAGTGGGCTTCTTGTGCCTAATAGGTGTATTGGACCAAGTTCGGTCATATCGGTTATTTCGGTTAATCAAGACACATGACCGAAATAAATTCGGTCTTTCACTGGTTGAGACCGAATTTTGTGGTCTTTGTCTCGGTCTTATTTTGCCCACCCCTAGCCATAGTCTCGTGCTCCGCCGCCACCAACCTCATCGACTCTTGTGCCACCATGTCCTCCCTGGTCCCCGCCTATGTGGCCATCGTCAAGTTCCACAACAGCGAAGTAGGACTTCGCCTCCAGAGGGGAAGGGGTAGGGGGAAGTTTGGCCCCGGTGGAGGAGGGGGAGGGCCGGCGTCGGCGTGGGGCACGAGTGGTCGGCGCCGACTACATCATCTCCCAGCAACCCCAGCCGAAGTAGTCATGTGCGGCCTTGCTGCCTTGTCGCCGCCTTGACGGCGTGGAGGGGAGCACCCTTAGGTGCGCAGCGCCGCCAGCCGCACTGGAGGAGGGTGCTGGAACGGTGGTTGTGGCAACAGCAGGAGATAGGATTGGGATGTGTTTTTGCGTAAACACCCTCGTACTTCCTGGGATTACAGCGCCGTCCCTGAAACCGGAATTTTCTCTTCTTTGTGTTATATTTCTCAGAAGTATATTGGTTTTTCATTAAAAAGTGTAGAAAGGTAAAAGCGGTGGAAGGATTGCTTCGATATTTCTCAGAGTATTAGGGTTTTTCTGCAAAAAAGCACAGGGTGCATGCACGCCTCGACCGCCCATTCCCAGTTAATCACACCGGACACGGGGACACATGCGTATGGGGAACAGGGCAATGACCATGGGAACCGCGAACAGCCAATAACAGGTGCGCCCACGAGGAGCCTTAAACACAAAACGACAACGTGTATAAGAAGAGATATAGCCAGAAAAAATTGAAAAATCGGAGAAAAAGGAGACGGTTAGGGGAGTTATTGGTTGATGATTACATTCACGCCGACACTTGAACTGTTCTTGTCCGTACATTGTGATCTTTGTGAATCATCATCTGCCAAGCACATATAGTTTGTGGGAATGGACCTGGCAATGAATCTATTTCATTCTTCTTGTTTTCAATATTTAGAACTGTTAGACTTCTCCGTGTGATGCTGTATTATTCTTCTGAATCTATCTTGTGATGTAACTATGTGAAACTAGTCATACTTAGTTCAAATCAATAAACACTTTTACTGCCAATTGTCAAGTAACCACTGTATGATCCACCTGTCTCCTCTTCCTTTGGCTAAATAAGAATGAAAATAATATGTTGACCAGTTAGGATGTTTCATGTGCTGTACAAAAGCATGGCTTATGGCTGCTGACAGTTTGTGTGCATTACTTTTGAGCACATCGAAGCACAGTTTGTGATGTTGACATCAGGCTTTCCTGAACATCTTAAACTCCAAAATGATGTGGTCGCTCGTCAGCTGTGCAGTTGGTTGTCTATTTCGCCCCATTAATGGATGCTTAAGTTTTGTTGAAGCATGTTATGGTTAGTCTAATATGCATTGTTATTATTTCGTAAGCTATAAATAAATATATTTTTGAATTAATGATTCAGATTATTTATGGTGACTTGGACTAATTTGTACTGCTTCCACCTTTCTGTGGCTTCGGGCCTTCCACGAGTGTAGTGATTGCCAGCATCCAACTATAGAAGAATAAGCATTGATTGAGATATTTCTCTACAGCTTCTAGACTCCTATATTGTGCTGCTGTCTCAGATGTACATTTGCTCGTGCCCGAGAGACACATGATCTTGTGGAGATTTATTGGTCATTTTGATCCATGACTGAGTCCTAGAATTAAGTTGTTTCTCACGGATCACGTTTTTGATCTGAAATTACTGTGTTCCAACTATGCTGATTCTTTAGCTGTGTCGAACAATCTGGAATTCTAGCAACACTGATGAAACATATTGCCCGACCGCACTGATGAAACATATTGCCCGACCGGCTGAACCTACTACTATATAGACATAGGTGTCCATAAAACGTCTTACAGCCATGATAAACTTTACACATATTGGATAATTTTGGACGAGAGTCATGGAAAAATATTTCGGTAGTGTTTCCCTTAATACAGCATAATAACACAAAATAACATTAATCCCCCCCCCTTCTCAAGAAAAAGAGAAAAAAAAACTTAATAACGGAGTTGTCCTCCAGAATATGTACAGTCCTGATTAGCCCATGGATGTTATGTTGAATTGGGTGGGCGATAATCCCTGAACACGGAGGAAGAACCGCCGGAGGCAGCGGGGGAAGGCGAAGAGGCTACAAAGTTAATTCCTGGCAATGATATTGAGGGATGGCCAATAGGATGTCCTTGATTTCCAGTAGCTGCAAAGCGGGACGGACTTGCTGTCGAGAAAGTCGCTGGACTTCTTGGAGTGTGACCCTGTAAGATCAGATGGTATTCAGTTCAATGACAGCATCAGCTGTACCTGAAAAATATTTCACCGGACAGAAACAACAGAATATCTAAACCCAAAACAAAAAATAAACAAAAACAGATTGTGTACAACCCAAATTATCCTAGAGAATTCACTAATGTAATTATCCTATATGGTCTCACTTTTGCATTGATGTCCAACAGACAAATGTAGACACAAACTCCAAATAATACTACGACAATGTTTTGAAAAGAAGATACTTCTGCAATTACTTACAGAATTGTGTTGGAGAGAACCGAACGGAGACCTAGCAAAAGAGGCTGTTGAAGGAGAAATACTATGAACATGATGCAAGGGACGTCCAGGAGTGCCCTGGTTGGAACCCGCCTCAGACTCGCCAGCAACATCACTAAAATTGACATCAACGGTCATTCTGGGCACCAGCCTAGAAATAGAACTTCCATCGGCTGCGTTTTCTGATGGCTGAGGCACAGTAGTGCGCAATGAGGCCTGCATGGTGCGCATCCTGATTTCTTCTTCAGCATTTAAAATCTGTTCAAATAGCCAAAAGAAACTTTTTTTTTTAGTAACTGAACTAACAAGATCTCAGAGGAAAACAGAGCAGTCAACAACAATATATTCGTGCATACATATAGTTTTTTTTAGCAATATATACTCCAATTATGATTCATAAACATGGAAAACATCAAAAAGTTGTTACTTATATTTCAAAGTGCGCAGATTGCTTTCACAAATTCTATATTTAGTACTCGAAACATGAAAAAGAATATCATGTCCACATCAATTCAATGAAGTGGCCTCATCCATACTCCAGCCATAATGAGTTTACACCTTCCACACTGTAAAGATAACCATGAAACTGTCTAAATATACGTATAGCATTTGGTGACATGTGACTTGCAACTGCGTAACTAGTTCGTTAAACATACTCCCTCCATTCCATAATATAAGGCACAACCACTTTTTTTAGATGTTCCATAATATAAGGCATGCATGCATGTAGGCAATTAACTATGACCCATTCTCCATTAAATTATTACTTTTTTAAATCCTCCACTCTTATGTTCTATTGGATGCATGCATTGTATTTATTAGGATGATCCAAACTACAAGATGATAATAATTATTTTCTTGGTCTTTGAGATAGGGGTGGTTATGCCTTATATTTTGTAATGGAGGGAGTATTTAACAAAAAAATGAATAACAAGTGAGGATATTATATACTGAATAACAAGTGAACATATCAGTCTAGCATCCAATACAAGTTTCACGATCCACAATTAGTTTATACACAGCTCCAGTTACTCTGCAGAATTCTTCCTTAATGACAAAGTTCTGGTCTGCTAGATAGTTCATCAGATGTTAATTCATTTTATTTAATTGGATTAAGACGACTAGATGAGGATATCAATCTAGTGTTATCTTTGATTCCACTCTAAATTGAGATCTTATAGAATAGGTATCTTTGATTGCACCAAATAAATCCAGACATATTTTTCACCTTAGCATAAAGTTTTGTACCACCGATAATACTTTGTATTCATACCCATTTGTTTTGAACAACAGTGGCATTAAAAATAACCAGAATAAAAGTTAGCACAAACAATACCTGCTTCAGCATCTGCACAAGATCATGCTTTTTCTTGTTTAAAGTATCCAGCTTGTCACTCAATTCTTTTTTCCTTTCTTCAATTACATCAAGACAACTCCCCTAAAACAGGTGTAAAAAAAGGTCTTAATGGAAATTAGGGCAAGCAAATAACCAGGGCTAAAACATAGAAAACACAAAATACAGAGCTCGCAAGTTTAGGCAATGAATCATATCCATACAGTATTTATGGTTACTAAATTGCATTCATGCTTTCACAAAAGAACTTGACACAGACAGAATCTCGACAAAAAAACAGTGCAAATGTATTCAATCGAATCAGTGTTCAGAAGCAATCCAGATGTATCTAGTATTCAAACATGACAACCAAATTTGTTTAATGCATCTTCAAGCTTGATTCTTCATTGCAAGCAAAGAAATTTCAGCCTCCTATGACACTGCCTAAAACATCTAGGCAGGCAGAAGTACCATCGGTTATATTAAAACCTGCCTTGGGTTGGCGCCTCCACAGCGTTTTGCATAGGCGTGGCCGTTTCCCGTGCTATCCACGTCGGCCTCGATGCTCCAGGCAGCCAGATTCCACGAGCGAGCGAGAGGCCGCATTGACTCTGGTCGTTTTGCAAAAAAAACCCTTGATGTTATTGATAATTTGTGATAAATCTCTTGTCTTACATTTATGTGCTCTGTATTCTTACTTTAAGGACCTCCAAGACCTGAAATATTTTATGCTAAGAAGAGAAAAAAAACGAAAAATAGGCCGCGCTTTGAATAACAACAAATGAGAGGCCTTTTTGTAAAAACAAACAGCCCTACCGCTCGGCGCCCACCCCTCACCCCACCCTCCTAAACTGCCAGTGTCCGGCCGAGCACCGCTCGCTGGTGGAGGAAAGGTTGATGGGTCCAAGAAGCGTGACCACGGCGCCAAGCACCACGCTCAGCTCCATCACCACCAGCAAGCCCGGCGCTGACATTCCATCCCCTCGAGCGGTCAGCCGCTTCGCCGGATCAGTGGACCATCGCCGGCGTCTGTCCCTCTGTCGGCTGCCTCCTCATCGTTGCTGACGCCTCCTGAGCAGCTAAGCTCTATCTCCTCCACCGATTAGGGATGGCAGGTGCAGAAGCACAAAGACTAAGTTCGATGAGATCTCGGATGGACCACGGCAATGGCATAGTCGCTGCCATATTCACCTGCAACTCCTCCGCTGCAATTCGAGATGAACAGAGAAATCGCAATCCCCGATATGGTTTCTTCTTGTCGGTAAGAGATGGTCTTCTCTGTCTTAGTGTCATGGTTCCCATTGATTGGTGTCAGGCAATGCAGAAAGATCAGAATGCATTAGATGGCAAGGCAAAGCAGCCACATCAGAATGCATACTCTGTTTTTCTCCTTTTTCTGTGACAGGAATTCATGTTGAATGTGGACCCAAGTTCAAGAATGTTATGTATCATGCTTTCAGTTCAATAAATATCAATAATCCATCTATGATTTTGCATAATTTCCAGTGAACAAAGTACTAATGATTTAAACTACATAAGTAGTGTCCTGCTGTAGGTTTAGGATTCAATGAATAATTGGATTGTGCAAGCAAGGTAAGCAGAGTTAGATGGGAGTAGTCATTTCTCTCTGAATTTATTATTTGTGTCCTTAACTGCTATTTAAATTAGTGGGGGACTATTGTTACTCTCTAACAGATAACAAGATTGATCTTCAGAGTAATTAGGCGAACACAACTGCTTCTAACATTGCTGATTGAAAGCTCATGTTGATTGGTTTTTGCTTGACGAGGTCTTGCCAGGGAGAACAAACATACTAATTATGGTAACTCTGAATCTGCATAGCATTTTTAATGTCTCATTGCAACACACTGTCTGGATATTCATAAAATAACATAGCAGTTTCCATCATTTGCCTTGAGCAATTTTCATTTTGCAGGAATTTGAATGCCTGATTTGTGGAATGTTAACTATTTCAGCATCAGTTTATTGAGTTCTCAGGTCGAATGAAATAGGAAGGAATTTAGCAGTGGCACTATTAAAAAAATGCATTATGGATGTGTGATAAGTATTCCATGATTTTAACTAGAGTTTGTTTTCCTTTTGTGTTTAGTAGCTATCGTCTCAGTGCTCAGTTGTAGTTTTCCTTTGGAAACAGTTGTTTCAAGAAGTTAGTTAGCTATGTTTTTTTTTCTACATACTGTTGATTTAGTGAGTGAACATCTGCTATCTGTTACAAATATCGTAGTTATGGCCTTCAAAGAAGTATGAACAATGCAATATTTTCTTTCTATAGCTTGCAGCTGGCTGCTGCTGAGCATATCTAATGCACGTGAATAAATCATTTATTGTACACATGGTCTTCAGGTACTTGACAAATGTTATCTAGCTTAAATTCGTGAGATATAGTTTTTAACCCCAGTATGGTTTACTTTGTTTTCTAACATATGGTTTACTTTGTTTTCTGACTATGACATGTATAAATATTACACTTCCTAAGTATCGATGTATATTATGTACTTAATGACTTGTACCATCTTCAATAGGATTTGATGAAAACAAGCTGAATTGATGAATTATGATATGCACTATGTGATTTATATTTAGCCTACGTGATGGTTTAAGCCCATGCATAGATGGTTCAAGCTGTTATATGGTGTTCATGTTAATTTTGTGTAGATATACCAACTCTGTGTTTTGGGGAAAAAAATGTTTGCGTAACTACAACACGATGCTCACTCTATTTACCATAGAAATTCATGATTTTTGTCTCTATCAGGGAGATTATAGATCTTTAATTTTATTCTCGTAATATTCTTATTGGTAAAAGTTCATTGGACTCTTGATAGGGCGCGCAAAATGTCTAGTACCATTATGAAAATGTACCAGTTTCAAGATACTACAATCAAGACCTGTCATGTTCATAGCACTAGCTCCAAATTCAAATGACTAAGTTACATCTCCCACAAACTCGTCACCATTCATCTATTGATTCTCACTCTACTGGACATATTTGGCAAGAAGAAACGTGAATTGTTTTTATGCAGCCTACAATCTCAGACTGCATCTTAAGTCCCTAAATTATAGTCAAATGCATACTTGAGCAAACACGACAAGATAGTACAAAGAGTCGGGGAATTTTAATAGTGCTCACCTCTGGATTAGGATCAAAGCCTTCGCTTTCGCCTTGACCTTCTTGAGCATCACCATTGCCATGGGCATCTTCACCTCCGACGAGCACCTCTCCGGCATCATCCATATCAGCATCCTCCACTGCCCCCTCATCCTGCTCCTCCCCCGCCTCTTGGGGTTGCTGCTCATTTTGCCCATCCTCTTCCTCCTGCTCCTGCTCCTGCTCCTCCTCCTCCTCCTCCTCCATCTCCATCCCCTCCTCGTCCTGCTCCTCCTCGTCCACCCCCGCGTCTCCATCCGCGAGACGGGAGGTGGAGGAGGAGGCCGCGGAGTCGGCCCGCGCCGCGCCGTCGAGGCGGGCGAGGGAGAGAGTGCGGCTGCGGAGCAGGCTGCGGAACCGCGACGGGGTGATGGTGGGGCGCGGCGCCGGCCAGCGGTGGTCGGTGTCGGCCCCGGCCCGGTGGAGGTTCCCGCGGTACATCGAGATCGACGACACCATCCCCGCCCGTGTCTCCGGGCGGTCGTGGAGCGCGCGAGGGGAGGGGGGGGGCAGCGGTGTCGACGGCGCACGCCGGGCAGGGGAAGCGGCGCCGGGGCGACGCGTGCGGTGGCGAGGTGGCTTCAACGCGAGCGGAGCTGGGGAGCAACGCCGGCGACGGTGCGCCGCAAGGCGGCGGCGCTCGAGGCGGCTAGGTCACGTTCTCTCCGCTCCGCCTCCGTATCGGTAACGCATCGCATAACGCCCGATCTGGAGCGTAATTGGGCTGGGATTCGTTTGCGGGCTAACCGATTACGGTCCATCTAAAACAAACGGAAAAAGTGCACCAAAGGTCCCTCAACTTGTCATGGAGTTACGAAATCGTCCCCCATCCACAAAACCAGATATATGACATCCTCCAACTTACAAAATCCGTTCACTCTAGATCCTTTGGTGGTTTTGACACCGGTTTTATCTTACGTGGCGGCTGAGTCAGCGTGGGACTCATGTGGGACCCACATGTCAGGATGCCATGTTAGCACCCTTTCTCTTCCCCTCTCTCTCACTCTTCTTAGGATGCCATGTCGACGGCGCCAAGAAGCCCTCTTGGACAGGCGCGTCGATGCGACGGTGCGCGCTGGCGGCTAGCAGGGGAGGAGGGCCGGCGCGGCGGGCATGGCCGGCGGCCGGCAGGGGAGTGCGCGTGTGCCACTTGGTACCCGACGGAGGCCTTGCAGCAGTGGGAGCGGAAGCAGCTGGTCTCGGACTCGTCGGGCTCCCGGAGGTTGGCACCGGCGATGAGGTGGCACGGAGGTGGAGGCGGGGCCGGGCGCCGCGGTGGTGCGTGAAGCCGTCGGCGCAGAGCGGGGCAATGGCAGACAACGACGACGATGACGACGGGTTTGAGGAGGAGGAGGACGTGCACCACCTCTTCCTCTACCCCGTCTCCTCAATCTTCGCGCCGTTGTCCCTCGCCACATCCGTCGCCGGCGATAGCTGGATCATGGCGGCGCCGTGCCTGAGGGCGCTGCCTTCGCCACCCGCTGGAAGGCGTTGGACGAGCTCTCCCTTCACCACCTGTCGCGCGCACCGCCATCAGCCGAGATGCTCCCACACCGCTCCACGTCGTCGGCCCGAAGAGCCATACGCATCGCTATTGGCCGCGGCGCCCCAACGCCACGCTGCGCCGTCAACCCCTCACGCCGTGCCGGGCCATCTGCCATCGACTACGGCGCCCACAACTGCGCCCTCAAGCCGTGTCGGGCCGTCCGCCGTCGACTGCGATGCCTACCGCTGCGCCCCCACGCCGTGTTGAGCCGTCCGCCGTCGACCGCGGCTCCCACACCTCACCTTCTCTGATGTGACCATGGCTACTATGGATACGACCATTGCTCACATCATGAATCAACAAGAAGACATCAAGATCAAGTCCTCCATGTGCTGCAATCTGATTCGGCCACGTGTTACATTGCTGACTTCAAACGGCCGCCAAATCTACATACGTGCTCCGTTTTGGGCCCGTGAGTACTTGATGGAAAGCTCTCGAAGTCCTCCTTCCAACGGATCTAGCCTCATCTCGGAAATCTATCTCGTTTGGCCGCAATCACAAAAGCAAGGTGCTGCGTCTCCTGTATTGGGCCAATGGGCTTGTAACTTTGTTTGGGACCCTGGCCCATGTGGGGCCCATGTGGGGTGCCCCCCAATCTGGTGGAGCACGACCCTTGGACCCTCTTGGTCGTCCTCCCACCTCTATAAATAGTTAGGTACCCCTTCAGGGTTTCTTGGGTTTTGTTAGATTAAAGTTTAGCCATTGCTACTTGCTTGCAGCGCGCGTGTCGGCTAGACCGTCCGTCTGCTTGTTCTTCGGAACCCCAACTTATCATTTGTATTAAATTCCTATTTGCAATATCAGATTGCTTTTATCTTGTTCTTGCTTGTTTCTTCGATTTGCTTGCAGGAATAGGGTTGATCTGCACCGGCAAGATCAGCAACCCACGGAGAGGTGTATCGATCGCTAAGGCGCAACACAACGTCTCGTACGGTTGTAGTCGGATCGTCAACGTTTCTCCCAAATCGTAGTTATCACAACTCACCGAAAGATCGGGCCAACAACAGCCTTGAGTGTCGAGAGGAACTCAGGGTTCATCAGGTGGTATCAGAGCTTTCGTTTCTCAGTGAGTTTTTATCTTCCTATAACCAGAAAATAGCCATACAAAAAAATTGTATCATTTACCTAGCCATATTGTGCCGTTGCATTGTTCTTTTCTGTTTTTGCTTTGTTGAATTTTGTGTTGCATTGTCACGTCGTGTTGCTGGTCTTAGCGTCTAGTTCGTTTAGAGTTTCGAGTTCTGGTCACGTTTTGTACCACAGTCGTCGCTGCCACCGTGTCTCTGTTGTTGTCGGGACCTACGAAAACGGAATCGGCTCGCTGCCACGGTTCTATTTTTGTAGTTTTCAGAAGTTTCTGTCGGTTAGTTTTGGAGTTCTTGAGTTGCATCTAGAGTTTGCCGATCCTTGTGTGTGTTTGTTTTGGCCGTGCCTGTGTCGTGCACGAGAGGAGGAAGGTGAATTACCATATCTGATTTTGGAAGTAGTCAAGTTTGTTTTGGAAAGATATAGTAGATTGGATTGGTTAAAAATCAGTTTCCTTTTTATCCCATACACCAAATTCGGCTGCCATCCACTCCACCTCCTGGCCGAGTCCCACTCGCCCCTTTGGCCGAGTCCGACTCCCTCCCTCTCTTCCACCGTTCCGAGTTGTGTCAAACACCTTGGCGAATTTTTGTTTGGTGTCGGTTTCGAGATCTGTTTGGAAAAACGGAACCGGCATAAATTCAGAATTCCATTTTTTGTATAATTTTAATTTTGGGTTTAGACTTTTACATTTGAGTCCCTATAAATTTTATATTTATGTTTGAGTCCCTGTAATCTTACATTAAGGTCCTTGAGTCAGTTTTTGTTAAAAAAATAAGAAAAAAAAGTGAGAAAAAAAAGGCAGAAAGGTGCAAAAAAAAAAAAAAAAGAAAAAAAAACCGCACCAAAAAAAAATCAGAAAAGAAAAGGAAAAAAAAAAGAAAAGAAGAAAGAAGAAAGAAAGAAAAGAGAAAATATTGTTTTGTTTGAGCTAAACTTCATACATCAGAGTGTGCTTGAGTTGTTTCTGGTGCTATTTTGTGGTACCGTTTGTGTCTAGGCTCGCGTCTCTAGTACGTTCTAGCCTAGGACCAGCACGGTACTTGACTTTGAACAATTATTCAACTTTGCGTTCTCTGATTTGAGCATTTGCTATTCCTTTGCTACATATTTAAGCCTACCCAGAGCTCCACAGATTTGGTTGCAGCCGTACAGCAAGTGTTTGCCGAGGCATCGATATATCCAACCTCTATTGGGGTGCTTGGTTGAGTCGGTGTACATCACCATTCCACTTGCATTGGTAAGATCTTGTAAGAGCTTGGTTAAAAGCTTGAGTGTGTGTGAGATTTGAGCTGCCAGTACCTAGTAGTTGATAGGAGCGTGTATATTCTTGTGTATGTTTCTTGTTTGCTGCTAACCATGGCAGGATTGCACAAGGGGAAACAAGATGGTCATGCTCAACGTCAACATCTACACCTTCGACGAGATATGACGACTTCTTCACGTGATGCATATGAGGTACATGACTATAATTTTGCACAAGTTGCATGTAAGTTACCAGTCTATGATGGAAAGTATGATTCCGCTGCATACATTAATTGGGAGCTAGCAGTAGAAAAACAATTTGATGAGTATGATTTTTCTAATGCTCAAATGATTAAGGCTGCTAGTAATAAGTGTACCGGTTCTGCATCTTTTTGGTGGCATACTGTGGGGAATAAGCTTGAAACTTGGGATGAATGCAAAATACTGATGAGAAAAAGATTTGTGTTTTCATACTATAGACGTGCTCTCCTTGAGAAATGGGAACATCTAAAACAAGGTGACAAAACTGTTAGGGAGTACTTTCATGATTTTAAAATTTGTATCACTTATAGTGGTTTACAAGAATCTAATGAGAACACAATGACTAGATTTTTCAGAGGGCTTAATTTCAATATTCAGGCTGGGCTTGTTAATGTGACATATAATCATATAGGCCAATTGTTCATGCTTGCTTGCATTGTTGAGCGCAAAATTTTGGAGAATCCAATGGAGCAACAAGATATGCTTGTGCCTCCTATCACTGATGTTTTGCAGGAAGTTCAGAAAAGTCTCCAAAATGAGAAGAACGATATGTTTGAGATGTCACTTCCATCACTCGCGAATGAGGAGAAGGCTGATGCAGCTACATTATCTGAAGAAAGTTCGCAAGGTAAATTAAATGGTGCTGAGAGAAATGAAGGTGAGTATTCTCAAGGTGAGCTACACTTGTCCACTTTTCATGCTATAGTAGAGCAACCATTAGTGGAATCAATTACTGAGTTGCCTTTGTCACAAGTTGATTTACTTGCTGTTCCTTGTGATAAAGAAGAATTGTGTGATAATGTTTCACTTATATCCATGCCACAACTAGTGAATGAACATGTTAGTTCTACTATTTCTTTGTGTGCTGATTCTAAGCATGTTGTTCACATTGCTAATGAAGTAGAGGAACGCGAATTGCTATCTTCTTTAAATACTTTGGGCTATATTCAGTTTGATGATTTTTGTGAGCTCGATAATTTGAAGGAGAAATTATTTGCTAAATCTGATTTGCCATGTCCAACTAATGCTATTTTTCATATCTTTGGCGAATATAATGATAGAGGAATATTTTTGGTGCATAGAGTTTACATTTGTTCAGATTTAGAACATCTTGTAGTTCCGGATAAAATATGCAAGCTAGAGAGACATGTTACTGCTAATCATATTGTCTCGAGTTTGTCTTGTTTTGATTGCAAGAAACAGGTTGTTTTCAGTGGACTGCGCGAAGAGCACCATATGGAAAAACCGAGGACGGTTTTCTGTGAAGAAGGGGAGGATGATGTGACCATGGCTACTATGGATACGACCATTGCTCACATCATGAATCAACAAGAAGACATCAAGATCAAGTCCTCCATGTGCTGCAATCTGATTCGGCCACGTGTTACATTGCTGACTTCAAACGGCCGCCAAATCTACATACGTGCTCCGTTTTGGGCCCGTGAGTACTTGATGGAAAGCTCTCGAAGTCCTCCTTCCAACGGATCCAGCCTCATCTCGGAAATCTATCTCGTTTGGCCGCAATCACAAAAGCAAGGTGTTGCGTCTCCTGTATTGGGCCAATGGGCTTGTAACTTTG